TGGCCTCCTCGAAGGCGGTGGAAACTGTTCCCTCCTCTTAGATTTTTGGAAAAGTTGGAGAAGGATTGGTATTACAGTAAGTCCCCAACTTACAAACATTCGAGTTGCAAACTTTCACAGATACGAACAGACCTGCATTACCAACATTCGCAGATGCGAACAAATTGCGGAAGTAGCTCACGTGCCTGCTGGACATTGTCACAGTTGTGCTGCTGCGTGCTCACTATGCAGTGCAACAGTGAACAGTAGTGCAGTGCTCAGTCAGAGCCCAGGGTGTCCGGATGCTGAGGAAAGCAGCTCCGCCATCGCCCACCCGCCCTCTCTCCACTTAGTGACTCTCCTGTCAGCTCACGCCACACAATCCCCTACATGCCAGGTGTCGTACTGTACTGTACCACCATTTAGAGGTAACTAAAAGTAAAAATAGTTTATTTACAGTATTTGTGTGTGTATGTTTAGTTTTTTTATGCTTTACATTGTATATTTGTGTGAAAGGTGTATAAGACTCACTTTGTTGGGCCTATGAACGAATCTGACTTACGACCGTTCTCCCGGAACGGAACTGGTTCATAAGTCGGGGACTTACTGTAGTTCTTTAAATGTTTGGTGGAATTCACCAGTCAGCCGTCAGGCCAGGGCTTATCTTTGTGGGAAGACTTTGATTTCTTTTTTTTTTAAAGATTTTTATTGGTGACTTGGNCCTGTGGAAGCACCCAGAACAGCCACCACGTGGGGCCGTGAGGTCAGCACCTTGGACAGCGTCCTGAGACGCCTGTGGCCCTCGCCGACCCCATGCCACTGACTTGAAACCTTTGTACAGAGGGATTTCTCTCAAAGCTCTTATTTCTGCAGAAGTTATTTGGGTCTTATCTCACCATCCAGAAAGCTGTGGTGTCGTGTTACCAGAGGAATATCACAGGATACCTGAGCGGTGTGTGTTAGGTCATCAGGGAGATTTATTGTGAGAAGAATAAATGAAGAACTCAGACATAGCTTTTCTTCGAAACCGGCATGTTGGTGAGAGGAAAGGGTTTTGCCACCTTCTGCTGTCCCTGGAGAGCTGCTGGGACTGACCAGCTAAGGAAAAACGCCTGACTCCCAGGAACAGGGCCGGGCCCATGCTCCATCCAGGTCACTTGGTGCTGAGAGGGCAGCGTCTGGGCCCCCAGGGACGGCTGGCCTCGAGGGGGGGGTCACCGGGACAGGCGTGAGGGGCAGGCTGCGTGGTGACTGGCACGTGTTGGCTGCCTGGACACATGGTTTGAAGGCGTCTTTTGTTCTGACCAGTTCGGGGCCAGTTCTGAATAGCGGCTTTCTCTAGCTGCCCCATGTGCTGGTGAGGGGGGCTCTGCCTTAGATGCTATCCAAGTTCAAATTTCGGATCTGCTGCTCCCCGCCGTGTGTGGCCTTAGGGAGGTCACTCAGCAGACTCCTTACCTACCTGGCCCAGGCTCTGCCTCCCTCACCTGGATGGCTCCGCCTCTGCAGGCTGCAGGAGCCTATAGACAGCCCCACTTGGCCATGACTCCCCCATGTCTCCCCATCACCTCCTCTCCTGCACTCCCCTCCCCCACTCATCTCCCCACTTGTCTCCAGTCAGGCAGGCCCCTCACTGCTCCCCGAGCTCCTGCAGCTCATGCCAGAGGCCTGCCTGCTCCCCCACAGCGTCCCCCGCCCCCGTCCACACTGTCCTTCCCTCCCATCCCCAGTTCCTCGGAGCCTCTGCTCAAAGGCCACTGCTCCCTACATGAGAGCTTCCCCGCCCCCAGCACACAGGCTTGTGTGCCCTTCCCCCAGAGTGTGGCCCCTGCAGCGTGGGGTCCATCTGCTTTGACCTCGGGTGTGCCCTCCCTGAACCTCCTTCAGTGAAGAGCCCCATCGGGACGAGTGGTGGGTGCAGGGCCCCGCCACCCCTCCTTACACCAGGGTGCCTCCTAAGGTCCCCAGGCCCCGGCCAAGACTGGTCAGGGCTGGGCTGCAGCAGTGCTGCCCGCTGCCTCGGTGGAGTGTCACCGCTGCTATCTGGGTCAGGCTGCGGGAGCCTCGAGCCAGCTGGCCGAGTCACGTGTGCCGCTTGGCCTCCCAGAAGCCTTCGCGGCTGCAGCGTCTTCACTCCGTGTNGTGTGTGTGTGTGTGTGTGTGTGTGCAGTGAGGGGCCCGGGATGGAGGTCAGGTGGTCAGCGCCCACCAGGGCTGCCCTGGTCACGTGGTCCCAGATGGCCCCCTTGGCGCCCGCCTCTGTTTACTGGTCTGTGAAACAGGACTGTTGAGTGAGATGAGCTCAGGTGTGCATGGAAAGGCTGGGTATCCTGGTCAGGAGACCCTGTTGTTATTGCTAAATGCTTGTGTGTAAAGATTACGTTGTACATTATCTTCATATTTTGCAGTTAATTTTGAGTTTAATGTTTCTCCTTTAAGGTGTTGAGTAGGCTCCTGTGGTTTAAAGAGAGAACAGGTGTCCCCACCCCACCCCCCACCCCTAGAAGGGCTCACCTGCTGTCTCAGCAGGTTCTTGGAGTCATTTCCAGGTTTCTGAATAACACTTTTTCGTTTGGGGCGTTACTTGTCCCCCTCTGTCTCTGGACCAGAGACTGTGTCAGTTCAGCTCTCCCTCCCTCCCTCCATCCCCAAGCAGGGTTAGGTCGCTGTTTATTATTTACTCATTGAACATTTGCATTATTATGGTTTATATAAATATTCATGAGCCACTAGCATCACATTTCCTTCCCTAAATAACTTTTAGTTTTTCTTGGAGATCATACTTTTCTTGATTTTCTTTCTTAGCATTTTCTTGAAGTCCTGTCTCAAGTTCCCCCCTAATCGTCCCAGCAGATGAGCAGCCCCCTCGATGTGTGTGTCACGTCCCTCCCGGTACCACTGGGGCCCTGGCACAGCATGTCACCCCAGATGCCCGCATCTCTGCCTGCCCCCTCTGACCCTGGCTCCCTGTCCTTTCTTGACTTAATCTCCAGTCCAGACACCCATCAGGACCCTCTGAGAAAGGGGCGTGGGAGGTAAATTTCCCGAGACCTCGTTTGAAAGTGCTTTTGCTCCAGCCTTAGGTTTGGTGATAGTTTAGCTGGGTGTGGAACCCTGTATTGGAAGTAATTTTCCCTTAGCTTCCAGTGTGATTGAGAAATCAGAANCACTGGTGCTTCTCCCAGGGGACCGGGGACTCCGCTGTCTGAGTCGGGAGACCTAGCCTCAGAGCTTGGCAGCGATGCTGGTCCCAGAAAGTGCCCACCATGGGCCGTGCTCCTGTTACAGACCCTTGGGTCCAGGGTAAAATCTGTTTCCGGGATAAGTTCCGGCGGTGCCGCTTGGAGGGAAGGTTTTTGGGGGCCAGCCGGCCCGGGGCCGGGGGCCAGGAAAAATTGAAGTGCCATGGCTTAAAGTGGGGGGCTCTTCAGCCGCCCGATGGTTCTTCTTGCCCGTCCCCTGAGACCCGCCCAAGGCTTGAGATAGGATCTCCCTCCCCGCTAGCTGGGCCTTTGGAGGGTGTGTGGTCACTGGAGTCCGAGGGGTCTGGCAGCACCTGTGTTTTGCAGGGAGTTTTCTGGGGGTTTCAGTTGATGCTTGGGGGTTTGGAGACCCTGCTCTGCCAGGCTGAGCCTCAGATGCCCGCTTTTCTAAGGTCATAGACATGACTGTGCTGGACCTTCCCTCTCTCCAGCTCAGAACTTCCACCGTCCAGGACTTGCCATGTGCAAAGCCCAGGGCTGCGTTCTGTGGCCTGGCATACCCGGCAGTCCAGGGAGGGGCAGTCCACCAGGCTGTCGTGTGCTGACTCCTAGTCACCCGGCCAGGGCTTGTTTTGCTCAGAGGGGCTGCTGGATTCAGGATTGGGATGGTGGTCAGGGGTCTGGTGGGGGGGGGGTGGACCTCCCCCTGGTGCTGACATCCTGCCGTGGAGGGGAAGAGCCCAATGGCTGCAAATAGCTGTGACCTTGAAGACGAGCCCTCGGTGGTCCAGCCTGATGCCAGGTGCTACCCAAGTGTTGGGGTTTTGGGGTTTTACAGGAGCTGCCCACTTGGCCTCTAGGCCCTGAGGCATTGGGGGAAAATATTAGCTTCCACTTGGGGAGGTTCTTGGGGCAGGGAGAGGTCAAAGGTGAAGGGATGACACGCTGACTTCCATAGTTCCCAGTGGCAGGAGGACTGGTGGACACTGGGTCAGGTGACAAGTGTGCCGGGCAATGTGGGTACCAAGTCTGGGTGACCCCAGGGTGATGAGGTAGATGGGGGTGGGAGCTTTGTCTCTGGAGCCCCCTCTGATGAGCCATGGGGGGGGCTCTCTGTGCCTCAGTTTCCCCATCTTCTGAGATGCTACAGGCTGTGGTACAGATGGGCTGGGTTAGCCCTGGTGGGGAGCTGGGGAGTCAGGTGCTGAGGGTGNGAGCCCCCTGGGCCGGGCTGCTGCCATCTTTCCTGCGTATGTTTGAATTTGGAGGGAAATGGGAACGGGCTCTCAGGCGGCTGGTGAGGGCTGGACGCCTGGGCTCGGGGTCTGCTCTGGCCACCCCTGGGCATGACACAGGTGGCACGCGTCAGCGGGGCCTCCTCCTGTGATTTTAGCCACCCACCCCAATTCTCACCTCCTGGTGTGTGGAGTCCCCGTTTCTGCCCTTCCCAGTGCCCACTGCCCCCCCAGGGCAGCAACAACTTCAAAAGGCCACCTGACCTAGGGTTTAGCCAGCTTTTGGCCGGACCCACGGTTTCTCCCTCCCCCCTCTCCTTGGCCACGGCACCGCTTGGACCCTCAAGCACGCGTGTTGGGCCCGTTCTGGGCCTCTGTGGATGCAGGTCTGTCGGTCATCCCTGCTTCGGCGGCTGCTGCGTCCCCGCACCCTGGCCAGGGGCCTGGTTTGGCGGCAGGCCAGCTGGGCTCTGTCCCCGGGAGGCTGCGTTTGGAAGGCTCCCCGAGGCCGAGCCGCCTCCCTCTGGCCGCTGCCCGCCGCCCGCCGCCCGCTGCCGCTCTCAGCACCGGCTCGGTGCAGAGATGCTTGTTTTCGTGTGACGTCAGCTCCCTGATATCCAGGCCGTGTTTTAGCTGGTGCCTCAGCTGCCGGCTCCAGCTTCCCGGGGGAGCCGGGTACCACCCGGGCCTGAAGACATGAGGAGGCAGGGATGTGAGAGGAGGGGGACTGGCCGGCCCGCCCGCCCGTGAGCCCCCCTCCTGCCTCCTGCCTCCTGCCTCCTGCCTCCTGCGTGGGAGCCCACCGCCCATTGTCGGGGTCGAGGGGAGCGGGCAGCGTCGGCGCCGGAGGGCAGGGACATGCCCGCCCCGCGCCCGCCGCCCCGCGGAGCATAAAGAAGTCAGCCTGGGAGGCGGGCGACGCGTGAGTACCGCCCGCGCCCCGCGCGTCCTGCCCGCGGAGGGGCCGGCAGCAGCCTCGCAGGCCGCGTGCCCGGGGGACGGCTGGACGCTCCGCGCGGGGGAGGCGGGGGCCCCGCCGCCGAGGGGTGAGGGCTTCGGGCACAGCCGCCTCCNGTGGGCTCTGCCCCTTCCCTGGGGAGGTGGGGAGCATGGGACTAAAGGGGTTGTTACAGCCACGTCCCCAGTGGGCACCCGCAAGTGCCCAAGGGCCACTGGATTGGGGGTGGGACAGGAGAGATGCCCCCGGGAGGAGGTGGTCATACAGGAGAAGGCTGCCGGCGTCCCACCGAGGGCAGCCGTGACTTATCCTCCTTACCTGATCTTTCTCCCATTCCCGCCTTTCCAGCGGGTGATTTGTCAGGATGAGCTCTTCCTGTTCTTAGGGCAAGTGGGGAGGGTACGTGCAGCTAGGGCCGCCCCTCCCCCCCTCCCCCACCCCCCCCACCACCTGCCCGCCTGCCACCTTTCTCAGTCAGACTCATTGGAAAGCTGAGGGGTTGGGAGACAGTCCAGGAGACACCCCCTTCTCCCAGATCACTATGACTGGCAGCTGGCAGCTGAGGACGCAGGGGCGCCCCTGCACTTTGGAACTGGGCCCCATGGTGCCCTGGTTCTGTGCATCCCTGGTTCTGTGCATTTCTGTGTTCCCGTCCTGCATGGAGGGCAAGGAGCCTTTCCCTCCCAGCGAGGGCTGACCTAGGAAGAATGCTCTTGATCTCACCCGAGCCAGGGGAGGTAGCCCGGCTTTGCTTCGCTGTCCACGTGCCTGCTTGGGCACTGGGTGAACTTGCTTTCCCTCTGGGGGTGGATGGGTTCTGATGTGGGCCCTGGGCTGGCTGTTCTGGGACAGCCCAGCTCTGCTCTGGGGGACGTTGCCCCCCAACCTCGGGTCTGATGCACTGTGAGTCGTGTGGGCCCCTTTGCCTTAGGCCAGCGGTGGCCTCAGCACTCTTTCCTGCCCTCCTTAGGTGACCCCTGCACTGTGTCCTCCCAGATGGAGCTGGAGGAGGCCTTCCGCCTGTCCTGTCAGCGCAGGGATGACGGGCTCATCCTCCACGGTCAGTGATACCTTGGGGCGGACAGGGCGGGATGGTGGGGGCGCTGCAGCGACGGGAGCCGGGGGGCCAATCTTGGCACCTCTGCCAGTCCCCCCGGGAGACTGGAAGCCACACGGAGGATCACAGCGTAAAATCATAGGTGCCAGAGCACGGACGGATGCTGGCTACAATGCAACTTGGGTTTCCTTTTCTCTCTTCCATTTTATGAACCCAAATAAACATCACTTACTGGTGGAGAGTCAGTGAGGTGTCTTCTCACTGGACATGGACGCCTAGGTTCTGCTTGTTAATCCTGGGGCCCGGTGCAATGGGGTGGGGATGGGGGGGCGCGGGGGGCGGGCGTGGAAGCCAGGGCTGGCAACTCCGGCCTCCAACATTCCTGCAGCTCGGAGGGTCTGGGCGCAGGGCTGGCGCGAGCTCGGCTCCAGGATGGACAAGTGCCTCCCTGTGGCTGTCCCCAGGCTCACAGCTTTCCTCAGCCTGTTAGGCTCAGAGCTGGGTAAGAAATGGAAATATTCTCATATAAGTACAGCCTTTAAGTTGGGGTTTTCAGACTGTGCTCCCCAGCACTGTTGGGGTTCTGCAGGGTGTCTGTGGGGCCCGAGAGAGCGTGGCTCCGGCAGCTGTGGCTGACCAGTCACGTCTGCGGCCACTTCTGGTGCAGCTTCGACTCTGCCAGGTGTGTGGCAGGGTCCAGAGCATGAAACCGCCCGGCGTTTTCTGTCGAGTAGTCATTTTCTCTGACGCTGGGCAGTAGTTGGTTCAAATACCCAGTTTCTATAGCTCTGGGTACAAATGGCATTTGGATTGAAAGCGCAGCTTGTCTGCTTTGTGGTGACGATGACCATGAGCTCATTCATGGAGCCCGTCATGCTGACAGCTGTGCTGCCCCAAAGTCACTGAGCTCCAGACTAAGCAAAAGGCGGCTTTAATACTACCTGAGTGTCTGGTTAGTAACGTGTCGTGGAAGTCCAGGGCACACTTGAAAGTACTTTGCTGTGAACTTC